TTTTTTGTGTGTTGCTCTTGTACCCTGCAAATTTGCTGAATTTGTTTGTTATAACTTTTTTTCTTTTCAATGGATTCATTGGGATTTTCAATTAGCAGTAATCACACCTTGGATAAACCTCCTTGGCTATGATACTGCCACTGCACAAAGCTACACTGGGAGCTTCTATATATAAAATCATATCATCTATAAATAGAGATAGCTTGACTTCTTTGTTTCCAAATTGGGTGGCTTTTATTTCTTTTTCTTATCCTAGCTTTTGCTTCTGGGCCCAAGGCACTGTATTATGTTTTGACCATAATTTTTTGCTCTGGTTCTCTGTGGGTTGTTAGCCTGCCTGGCAGAGTTTTTGAGCAATGCCTATCACTCTTCCAGCATAAGTTCTGACTTGGGCAAAATAAAGATGAATGCCTCATGCCAGTTCTTCAGGTAGCCCCCCGGGCAGGTTAGGACAGACATACACGATAATTTCCAAATAAGGTCTATTGCGCTCTTTCTGGAACCGGAGACCAGGGTTTCATGCTGGGAACACGGGCTTCTGCACTGTGGAAGAGGCAGGGAACGAGCAAGCGAGGACACCACAAAGCCTTTCTACCATTTTGAAGTCATCTTTTTCTTGAGTCAGTGTCATGTTATTGCTGTGAACCGTTGACTGTCTTCCGGAGTTCTAAAACAGTTGGTTCTGACAGTTTCTGCTTGTTTTTTCATGTTTCTGTGGGAAGACAAGAGCTTGAGGCCGCTACTTTGCTATTTCTCTCACCTGCCGAAACTTTGATAGGGATATAGCATGAAATCCACAGATGAATCTGGGGATATCGCCATCCTAACATAATTGTCATTCAAACCATGAACATGAAATGTGTCTCCATTTATTCAGATCTTCTTAATTTCAGTAATATTTTACAGTATTTGGCTGTATAGGTCCTGCACAAAGATGTGCAGTTGATTCCTAAGGATTCTATTATTTTTGAACCTATTGTGAATGGAATTGTTTTACTAATTTCATTTTCAGTTGTTCATTGCTAGCATATTGACAAACATTTGATTTTTATTTCATATTCATCAACATAGTTTTAATACTTTTATAATTTATTTTGATTTTTCACGTGTATATTATGTTGTCTGTGGACAAAGACAGTCTTGTTACTCTCCAGACTTGTTGCCTTTCTCTCTCTTGCCTCGTTACACTGGCTGCGTCCTCCAGTAAAGTGTTAAATACAAGTGGTAAGAGTAAATATCCTTGTCTTTTTCCTCATTTTTGTGGGGGAAACATTTAGTCTTTCACCATCAAGAATGATGTTAGCCGCTATTGGATTTTTTCTAGATGCCCTTTAACAGATTGAGGAGGTTTGTTGCGAGTCTTTATCATAAATAGGGGTTGAATTTTTTTCAAATGCTTTTTCTGCATCTATTGAGATGTTTGTGTGCCTTTGACTTTAATTTTAT